TTTCACCTCAGTTTTTCTTTTCTTTCCTTTTCTTTTTTTTTTTTGGTTCCCAGTGATGTGAGAAACTTGACAAGAGAAAGTGTGTGTGTCAGAAAGAGAGAAAAAACTGTGTGTATTATCAGATCCTGCCATTGGTTACCATGGTAATGGCCAAGGGAGCTACATATCCAGGACACACACACACACACACACACACACACACACACACATACAAACACACTCTCTAACACGCCATGTTCACACCTAACAATGAAATGCATCTTCGGTGATCTGACCACAACTGTGCAGCTGAAATGTAGCGAGGGTCGTGTCTGAATTTTTGGATTCTGGGAGACACATGAGAACGAAGTGTGGATACATGATGAATGCAAATGCAGTCAGATGCTTTCTCAACTTTACTGCATGATAGAAACTCAAAATTATATTTAAAGGGTCAGCGTGACACCAAAATTAGACCCCAGTTATACCTGGTTGTATGCAATTTGGATCTGAATGAGGATAAATGTAAGAGAGGTAAAAATCATTACTCATATTTCTCCAAATATAATTTCTCAATATATTATACCTCGATTGATTTAGAGTCTTAGTTTGACATGTTTCAACTTGATTAAATTTAAATCCTGAAAATTCAAATGTCATTATCAATATTGAAGAATTTATGCTAGAATCATATTAAACTCGATTTAAAAGCCTAACCAGGGTAAAGTGTTCAGACCCCTTCACTTAATTGTGTTGTAGACTTTATTTTAAATAGATTAAATTGCCGTTTTTCCCATTAGTTTACACTTAATAATCAATAATGAAAGAAGTGAAAACATGTGTTTAATAAAACTGAAATCTCTCATTTACAGAAGTATTCACACCCTTAATTCAATATTTTGTTGAAGCCTGTTTGGCAATTACAGCTTTGAGCCTCCTTGGGTAAATCTCTACAAGTCTGAACACCTGGATTTGGGCGGTTTATCTCGTTCTTTCTGGCAGATCCTCTCAGACTCTGTCAGACTGACGTGAAGTGTCTGCGAACTGCCGTCTTTAGGTCTCTCCACAGATGTTTTGAACAAATTGAAATCTCCCATATACAAAAGTATTCATAACCTTTACTGTGACACTCCCAAGTTGTAGTCAGGTGCATCTTCTTTGCTTTAATTATCCTTGTGATATGTCTAGAATTTAAATGGAGCCCACTTGTGTAGTTTAGAAAGACTCACACCTGTGTATACAAGGTCCTACGAGTCCAGTGGTTTCTCTGTAGACAGCTGTGATAACTGTGGCGAGACACAGATCAGGGGCAAAGGTTTAAACCATTTCTAAAGCTCTGAGTGTTCCCAGGATAAACCTCAGTAATAGGGAAAATGGAGGCGGTTTGGAACCAGCAGGACTCTTCTCAGGGTGTATTCACACCTCCATTTGGTTTGCCCCGGTCCAATTTAGTTGATGACCTTGTTAACTTGAAGCATTTTCCCCTCGGTTCGGTTTGCTTTCACGCAGAGGAAAAATCAAGTGAACCAAAATGCATCATTACAAACCATGTGAGAACAATCCATTGACTGGTCAGATTGTCTGATCAGAGCAGGAAAGTAAACACAGGAAGAAGGTTACGGGAACCATCGAGCTCAAACTTGAGAGAGTTCACCTGCTCGTGGGGTCGAATCGAGTTCAGAACTCTTTCACACCAAAAACGAACCGCTCCAGAGTTTGTTTAGGACCGGACCGAGACCACCTCCTCGCAAGGGTGCGATTGAAGGGTGCACCCGAGGGCGTGATTACTGTTTTCACACCTGCCGGAATGAATCGTACCGAGGGAGAAAATGAACTAGGGTTCGGTTTAACCGGACTAAAAAGCGCAGGTGTGAAAGCAGCCTTAGAGACTGAGTAACCAGGCAAGAAGGGTCCCAACAGAGTTTCTGAAGTACTCTGCTGAAATGGAGAAGCTGCCGGAAGGATGATCAATCAGGCCTTTATGGCAGAGACACTATATGAAAGCTACTTAAAGTAAAAGTCATATGACTCATATTCTGGAGTTTGTCAAACAGCCTTTAAAGAACTATGTCGTCTGAGGAGATAGAAAACGAACCCATTGTGCAGAACTCCAGGTACTGCTCATCACCTGGTTCAAACATCCCTACAGTGAAGCCTGGTGGGGGCAGCATCATGCTATAGGACGTGGGGAGGCGGCTTCTTAGCATTAGGGACGGGGAGACCTGTCACAATACAAAGATGTCCTTGAGGAAAAGGAAACCTGTTCCAGGGCGCACGTGAGCCGAGACCGGGGCAACGCTTCAACCTTTGAATCAACGAATCATTTCAGCTGTAGAACAGAGCAACATATTGAAACTGAAACAATGATGCGATAATTAGTCAGTGCCGCCCACTCCTGACTCTAAATGCAGAATAATATGTGGGTACTTTGCACCTCTAACCACTGATGGATGGGGGAAAGTAAAATCCAGTTGAAACACATTTTAGTTTTTTGACATCCTCCGTGAGTCAGTTGAACTGGATCTATAGAAAGTCTGGATCTGTAACACACATTAAGGCATGCTGTGTAGAGTGTGTGTGTGTGTGTGTGTGTGTGTGTGTGTGTGTGTGTGTGTGTGTGTGTGTGTGTGTGTGTGTTTTATCAGTGCTGTCCAGCTTCTCAGCCTTTTCCTGCCAAACATCCGTTTCCTTGGCAACCCAGACTGGAAACAGGAAGTGTGAGTGACGGGAAGTGCTTCTAATCTTTGTCAAGTCTTTGAATTGTTTTGGACATGTCCTCCTGCTGTCTGTGTTGCCATGGAAACATACCGGTTACACACACACACACACACACACCAGCTGGCTGTTAGCTATTAGCAGGCTACCAGCTGGTTACCAGTATGCTACAGGCTCACTAGCCTAGTGAGCTAACAGCAGAGGCTAAGGTCAACAGCTGGTTACTAAGAGGCGGTCTGTGTGTGAAATCACTCATTCACTGTTTCCTACAATAATAATGATAACAAACTCAGTAGTTTATTCTGCAGTGAGCAGTGATTTGGGGCCGGCTCTGAGCCTCTCTTCTGATTGGCTCACTGTTTTCTGAGTGATCCAATAAAAAATGGCAGCTTTCAGGTGAACACAGTAACCAGAGTAATCAGAGAAACCAAATCCTTGGTCCAAGGTTTGGATGGTGGATCCAGGTGGGCGGGGCTTGGTGACTGCTTTGTTGTGACATCACAAAGTTCCAGAAGTCCTGACGGCTGGTTTTAAGGCTCAGTTTCTGAATACAGGCTGTGTGCATTTCTCTGTGGACTGAGGCTTTGATACTTTCACAGTATTAATATAGAAGCTAGAGCTGATCTATAATCACACTACACATGGACACAGACCTTTATTACAATATGAGACCTTTAACTTTTGGCATAGATAGCAAAATTAAACCTCTGGCCCAACATATGCCTTGGTCCTAGGCCCATATACTTCCACATCTGGGCAGAGTCCGGCTTTTATCCTCCAGTATTGACTGACAGCTGCAAGATTTTTGTGTGAATTGGCCCAGATGTGATTGTAGCATCTGACAGTCATGCCGGGCATATTCTGGGTCAGGATTTATTTTGCTATCTGGGTGTTTTATGGTTCTGTTCAGGCTTGCAGCTCTTGGTTCTGTTTTAACACAGTTCACAGTAACTTCAGATTCAACCACCTTCTTTCACCGACCTAAACCAAAGAGCCGTCGTTGCCTAAACCACAGACAGGATGTGAACTCTGGTCTCTGGTCTGACTGTCCTGAACTTTCTATGTCCTCCATTCATCCGAACTTCCTCTCGGTGACGCTGCATCTGTTAATGCAACACTTGAGTCATTTACAAAAAAAAAATGTTGTCTCTAAACATAATCTAGATAATGATTATGTTGCCCCCAGGATGTAAGAGGGAACACAGCCCTACCGAAACCTTAATGGTATCATTTACTCTACAGGAAGGATAGTTTAGTTTCTTTCTGATGGTAGAGTCTGTAGTTGAGGATTATATCTATCTACATCTGGGTATTTGGTGGCACACCTGGTCAGGAATGTGTGCACATTATCAAACATAAGAAAGAAACTGATTCTCTGCATAGAAATTACCGTAGCTGTTGATAAATGAAGCCCCTGGTCTGCTGCCCGGGCTCCCACCATCACTCCACCATCTTTTTTATTCCCCTCTGAGAATAGACACAGAAAAGTAAATCGATACTCAAAACTTTACATAATACTACCAGTTATAAACGAGGTTTACCGCTCCTTCAGTTGCCAGGCAAACCAATACAACAGCTTCGTATTGTGTAACAGACTGAACCTGAAATGGCCCCCACAGAATGCACCTGTGTCTGACCCAGTTTAATCTAAAACACTGCACGCTCCGTCGTCTCCGTATATACCCTCCACTCTTCTCCTCTTCTGACATGTATTTTTTTTTCTCCCCCCTCCCCACCCCCCCTTTCCTTCATATCCTGGCCTCCCTCTCCTTTACCTCCCACCCGCCTCCTCCCCTATCTTCCTCTTCCTCCCTCTTTTCCTCCCTCTCTACAGGATGGGCAGGGCAGCTCCCAGAATACAATCTGAAACTCTGAGACCTCTCGCTCTGCTGCAGGATTACTACACAATACCACCACATAAACTACTTAACTGTTTACTGTAGAAGTACTTCAACCACTCCGGATCCTGCTCATTGTACAAGAGGAACTACAACATCTACGGAAGCTACTTCATCTACTGCAGAAAGTTCTCCGACGTCAATCGCAGGATTACAACAATCCTCCAAAAAACTCCTCCGGGAATCCGTTCTGCTGAGATCCCAACCAATCGAAACCCAACCAGAGACACTAGAACCTGGCGCCTCAAGCTGGACCAGAACCAGAAACCAGAAGCCAGAACCAGGCTAAAGCCAGTACCACACCAGTAAGCCAGTTAAAAGATCTAGACAGGACCAAACCAGGCCAAGACAGACCAGAAGAGACCAGTAGAAATCAGTAAAGGCCATTGGAAAAGTTTGATGGGACTGCTGACGATAGGTAGGCCTGAGTGTGTGGTGTGACTGCAGTGTGTTTTATCATTGTCATGGTTTAATATTGTATTCATATCCTGAGCACATGGGGCCCAGCCCGGGTAAAAACTAGACTAAACTAGCTAACTGTGTATAAAGTAGTTAAAACTAGTTCCTAAATTTTTTGACATTACTAAGGCTCAGAACATCCCAGGAACATTGGTTCTCATAATCCCGGATTATTCACACTCTCATCTTTCCATTCATGTGCACACGTTTTCTCTCTGTTGAAAACATTTGCAATTAGAAGCAAAAATAGAGAAAAATTTCAGATTGCATAAAACCCTTATTATGTAACAGCTGTCCTACAATCCATTTAATACCTCTCACATGCAAATTAGTGGCGTTCCTGCCTTGCCTGGCTAAGACAAGTGGAGACGAAGGGAAAAAGCCTTTAATTAAAGGTCTTTTCCTGTGTTTTATTTGAAGTGTTGGTCCATGAGAAGATATATTTGTGGTTTTAAGAACCAAAAACCGTCTCAGTGTAGTTTTACATCTCCTCTCTCAGGCTTCTCTCTGCAGCTCTAGTAACAACAGGTCAGGGAGCCAATAATATAGAACCAAGACTTGCTTTATAATTAAAGAACACATGGACATCTATCTTTATACAATATGGGACCTTTAAAGGGATTTATTTAACCTGAAAAAACATCAGTATGGTCCTTTAAGCTTCCAGACAATAATACTGTAAGCTCATCCATTTTATGCTCATGGTCTAATTTAGGGACGAGGTTCTGTTGGTTCCTCCACCTCTTCATCTGGGCCCTCAATGTGTTCCAGGGATATTTAAGGTCTCTGAAGTCTTTTTATATCTCAGTCTTTAAAGAGTACAATTGACTCCTTGCTGGCTGACATGCACACCACAACACAGAGACCTTGAATCATTTCAGCTGGAACATCATTAAATAGCTCTCACATCCTCTCCTCACGGTTTGCACAGTGAAAGCAGCTGAAGTGCTACGTCACTGTCTGGCTCCTATGAAAATCGTGACAGCCAGTGGATAAATCTCAACGACTCTAGTCATCCGCCGAATTTTCATGGTCTTCGTCACCAGTGGTCGTGCGTTCAAATGCCTAAAACGACATATGTTTACCCGAAAATACCGTCTTGAGGCCATGAGAGTTATCTCTGTAAAGCAAAAGTGGAAGCAGCATCGTAGAGAGAGGAGAGGTGGAAGACGATGTTTTGGTCAACAAAGCTTATGACCTTTGTCCAACACTGACCACAATCGTTCCCAAACCTTACGGACTTAGTTTTTATTTATTTATATATATATATATAATCCAGTTCATCAGCTTTCTCCAACTCATTTTTGAGCCTAAATGACCAGATCAGAAAACGCTCACACAGGTAAAGACTCAACATATTTAGTGTTTCTGAAACTTTCCGCGACAGTTCGTCTTCCCTCGGTCGTCGCCAAGATACAAGGTGTAGTCTGTTTTGTAGTGAACCCGGGTTAGTGGTGGTAAATCTTGTACCTGCTCAAGGTGGTTGACCTCCTTGGATTCTCTCCTGCAGAACAACATGAGTCCACTTGATTCATGTGGGTCGAGACTTGAAGAATATCTCAGGTCTCGACAAAATCCGTCAAAAACTAATAACGTTGTCACGCTGTCGTGCTAAACTTTACGATGACAAAGAGTTTGACAAAGTAAATCACTAACTAATAAAATTTTAGCTACATCAGTCAATGTAAAGCTACAATTCCAAGATGAGTCTGAGACGTCCTCAAGCAGCCACCGTACCAGCGACAATGCTGCGTTCATCTTCTTGTATCAACCAGTTTCTGACTCATCAATAGCGTTATTGTCGACACCCAGGTCGTAATTACAACGAGGATTCTCTAATTTTTCTGAAGATATATGTGAGTTAGGGTTTAATTATACGAAACTGCTTTAAAACGAAATAAATATGAATGTTTCATATACATTATTTAACCCTCGCATTACAAACTTTGTCGTCATACAAACCGTTTCAAGTGGTCAGACGACATTAATACTTGTAAATGTAAACATGAAAATCGTTTCCATTTCCCCACCGTCAAACATCATATTGTTCCTCTCTCTCTCTCTCTCTCTCTCTCTCTCTCTCTCTCTCTCTACTGTCTACTGCATAAAACACAGAATTTGCATTTCATGACGTGAAGCTGGTTTTTCCCTCTGATCACCTCTCGAGTACGACGTTCAGACTGTGATCATTGTCGGCTGGTGGCACAGACGCTCTCCTCGCTACAAACCAACAGTGTCTCTGAATTATGAAGGAGGGCTGTGGAGGGAGGTCTGGGCTTTTTCATCTGCTAAAATATTGTACTTTTCTGAACATTTCTTTAAACGTAAACTGTTCACATGCAATAACTAATGGAAAGTAGTTTGCACAGAGTATTTATTATAACCTCTCCCAATCTTTTAAATGGCCCGTGGAATTTTTGATGTCAAGAACTGAATTCGACCAGAAACATAAAAATAAAAAGATAAAAATCATCTCTCAAGGTCTACTTACAAATTTTTTTCCAGAGCTTTCAACAGTACCTTATGGTCTTCCTCGGGGGGGGGGAAAGTTTGCTCAGCTGTTTTCATATTATCTTCATCACAATTTAGTGGAATCCTCTGATGAAGACCAGATGTGGTTGAAGGCTCATGAAAAAAGCGAGTAAGTTGACCTTTAGAGACGATTTTTTTCTATTATTGAAATCACTGTTTTCAAAGTTTTTAAGTAAATCTTACTTTTAAACTTTCCATACTTGCACAAGCAGAAATTTTTCAATTAGTAGAGTTACTTAGAAATTTGTGGAAGTTTTTATTTTAAACATTTGTTCGTTGACTGGTAGGAATGGGGTCCGACAGCTGGGTCCATTATGGATCCAGTTTCTGGTCAGTGACTCATCAAGCTGTGACGCCAACGAAATCTCTCATCGAAGCTTTTATCTCTCCTTGCTGTTTTCTTTTTAAACATCTCGTTTTCCTCCCTGCCTTTTCTCCCGCCAAACGACTTTTAAACATTCCCGAGTTGTTGTTGTTGTTGTTTTAGTCTCAGTAATTTGCTGATGTTGAAAGGGAAACCTAATAAGATTTGATGAGTGGATTCAGGGCTGGATTTGACTTTGATGAAATGCTGAACCCCTCCCCAGTGACAGGACACTCACTGCTCAGACCAAGGTTTAGAAAATGCTCAATTTATTTCTTTAAATTGTTGATTGAGCACTTTGGCTTTGGTATGGTTCAGATGTTATTTAAGGGGTCTTTTATCAGTTTAAATATTCTTTATATCAAGAGATATTTGAATTTTATCCAATTACAACTGAATCATTAATGTGATTTAAAGCTGAAACTACTTCCCGTAGTCCCTCAGAGCCATGTGGGCGATCGTCCTCTAGTTTGGTGAAACCACGGCCGTTTGAGCTTGAGTCTTATTTGCAGATAAACGTAGCTGCAGTGTTGTGCAGGCTGTGTGGGAGGACAAGCGGCTCTGCTCAGGACAAAAACGGGAAATGATCGAACGGTGACCCCAAGTTATTTCAGGACGAAGCCGCTCGCTGCTCTAACCGAAGAAGAATTTCACCTTTTCCACAAGACAATGATCTGGAGCCAAAACCGGACCAGCGCTGAACATCCTGGATCAGATCAGTCCTGGAGGAAACCTGAGGACCGACCCAAGGAGACGTTACATAACAGAGCTTTCTGCAAAGAAGAAGAATGGAGGAAAACCACCGCTGTGAACCACACAAAAAAAGCTGCCTCCGCTCCCACTGAGTGTTACCTGGAGGACCCATTCACATTTACAGCAGCGAGCATAAAGATAACTAGAGACATTTTCCAGGGAAAAATGATATGATTGCTACCAGCAGAAATGTTGTGATTACTGAGGTGTGAAAGTAGTTTGAACGGCATGAGGAGAAGTGAGTGGATTCAGAGAAATGAAGTGAGGAAGAAGAGAGGAATGAGGAGAGGAAGGCAGCAAAGATAAAGATGAGAAGAGAGACGGAGAAAGAGAGAATCAGCCCACAAATGGTTGAAAGAAGAAGATAAACACTTATGAAAAGACAGTGAAACAACCATGATGTGGCAAAGGGGGAATTTTTACTCTACTCCAGCGCCTTTTGAACTGTGTGTCACCTGGGTTTTGCCTCTCAGGCTACTGAAAGTCTGACCTCCTTCATATATAAAGCTCCATATTTTCCTCTTCTCCTGTGTTTTATTTTGAAGTGTCAGTGTCATCAGAAGATATAAAAACCATCTCAGTGTAGTTTTACATCTCCTCTCTCAGGCTTCTCTCTGCAGCTCTGGTGACAACAGGTCGGTGAGCCAATCAGAAGAGAGGAGGCTCTGAGTCGCTCTTTCCACACGAGCTTGCACCTTTGAGTTTGACCGCATATTTTGTTTGTCGTTAATATTTGATGCTGATGATTTTAACCCGATCCAAGCTGTAGAAGTGCTTCAAACTGTGAGTCACTAATATTTTCTACGGGATAATTAAACAAGGCTTTTACTTTAGCTTCTCTCACTTCGTAATGCTGTTACATTTTCTTCAGAAACTTTCATGCTGTTGCAAATTAGGAATTTCTAAACCTAATTTGTAGAAGACAGGGTTGAATATTAAGTGTGAGGACTTACCTACACCTGCCCAACGTGGATGTTCTCACTATCCCACCGTCTTTAAAAGTCAGATTTCTCCATGAGAACGTGTGAAGCTGCAGGACAGTGGTTCGACTAAAATCATCTGTGTTTCTTTCTCTATGATTGACTGTAAAGGACGAGAGTCATGATATAGAAACTCTTGTGTAATGGAGCTCTTTGACAACAGCGTGTCAGGTTTATGTTTGAACAGCTGTCAGAGACTTGGTTTGCCTTTTGTCTTTACCTTCATTTTGAAGGTTAATCCATCAAACAGCAGTGAAAAGCTCAGATTTAATGAGCTTTGATTTCTGGCACTGAAGCATGAAAAGCCCTAAAATCAAAAAAAGGTGGCTG